AAATCCAATGTTCCATTTAAAAGTTATAGACGTTTCAAAAAAACCATTCTAACTGAAAGACCCTGTATTTCTAATTTCCAAAATAGAAATTAAATTTAAAGATTTACCAGCGGATTAAAAAAATTTTTGCTAGTAATCCCGTTTTCTCAAAATTATCATTAGACTTTATCACAAAAAGGCAAATTCTAAATTGATTATGTAATTCGAAGAGCTATTCCGTTTATTTACGTTCGTGGACTCTTTTTTAGCTATATGTTGGCTATGTTTTTTAGCAGCTTCGTCTCTTTGTATAATTCACTAAAATGCGATGGATCGCTAATATGCAATCTGGTTGCTTCTTTTTGACAGGGAAGATAAACAAAAAGTTTTGCGAATTAATTGATAAATTATGAAAAAAAGCTAGATAGAACGCAATTCACATTTCCGCAATTTTGAGGCATATGAAGAAAAGGGCTTTAAACGAAAAAAAAAATTATTACTCATGTTCCAAAATTAGCTTGTTTTAGCACTGAGAAATTTATCCATTGGATATTTTCGTTTTCCATAACATATAAATTTTAATAACTGAAAACAAAAACTGTCATAATTAAATATCAAATTTTGAATAAAAAGTACCCAAAAATTTGAAAAAGTTCTCTTTTTGGACAAAAAAGGTAAATGTTTTTACAAAGCGATCTTTGAAGACTGAAACGAACAGAACCAAATTTTTATCATTAAGTATCATTAAAAACTAGAAATTGACTTTTTCTACCCCATTAACAGTTAGGTAGCCTTGTGTAATTGCCGATAATCAAATCATGCATTAAGAATCATATTACTGCATATTTATGAATAAGAATTTTTTTCTATTCTTATAATATGGTTTCAGATTTTAAACTAGTTTTTGAAGATCTGAATTCTACTTGAAAAGGCAAAAAAAATCGAAGTTGTAAAATACTCCGGTAAAGCAAAATTTGTCAAATTTTAGTTAGTCTGCTCAATTTTTGTCGGTTTAGTTGTCAAATCACGGATTTTGCTGGTTGGTTCTGTAAGCATTTTTTTCGATAGTTGCGAGCGCAAGGGTTTTTCAGGCTTGAATTTTTTTTTTCAAATTAGTTTTTGCCTAATGGTGTCTGCTCGTAGATTGTCGGATTAGTTGCCCTATCACGGACTTTTATTGTGCTGGAAACAAATTTCGTTGAAGTTGCGAGCGCTTTTAATCGTAATTTCAGGAGGCTCTTGAAACTTTTTTGCTCAGTTTTTGTCTGTTCAAAGATAATCGGCATTGTTTCCTCTTCTTAAATTTTGCTCAGTTGCTAGTTTAAAATTAAAATGTCTGGCTTGTTTGCCTAGAATAGCTAAAAATTTTTATCAAAAGGTCTTGATTTTTTCTGAACCTGAACTTAATTTCTGAAAAAGCAGCAGTGTCATTAAGAAGTAGTGACCAGGTGATTTTGAGTTTTAAACTTTTAAAATAATTACAAAAAAAACTTCGAACTGCAGTCAGGATGGACGGTTGATGAGTAAGTAGCACAGAGTATTCGACTCTATTAATTAAGTTTGAACTGTTTTTAATTAAAAGCTAAAATAGAAAAAGTGAGATTTTCTAAATTTTGTTGTTTTCAGTAGGAGGGGATCAATTATATAATGCTCTGCTAAAATCAGTTGATTAAAGCTAAGTACAAAATCAGGTGCATTCGAAAAAAATAGAGCTTTCATTCTCACGCTGAAATGTCTACAACTCTTTTATTTTCTGACGACGTTAAAATTAGTTGCAAAAACTAAAACTTCAGACCCAAATTTCTTGACACTTGCTCCGTATCAGTTTTTTGAAGTATTTAAGTCCGTGAGAAAATCCACCCTACGTCATAGTTCCTCTCCACTTCGGTAAAAGGTCGCGAACAACACGGAAAATTGTTAGCCCTCGCAATTGTAGTAAAAAAAAAAACATACTTCGCGCCAGAACTGTTACTTGTCAATCGGTTTCTGGATGGTTCCCTATTCACCAAGCATTTTGGGGTCAGTCGCCATTTTATGCGACAAAAAAGTAACAACAATGACTAAATTCTGTACGTCAGTTCATTTTTCGACCTAAAAGAAACTATCTTACTATTTTTCATTCAGCTAACCAGTCTTGCCTAATGTAATTCAGGTTTATTTTTTACGCATGTGTAAGGTTTATTTTTCAAAGCTTGCTGAACAAAATTATTTAACTTGATAGATTAACTGAAACTTTTGTGACCAGAAAGTTTTGTTTTGTCATGTCGTTGTGCACCCTTATTTGCTACATCACAATTTTCATTTTTGCTACAAACTGTTACTTTTTCCGGTAATTTGTTTTAATAACTAGTCCTGCGTTTGTATGCTTTTTTTCGCTTAAACCCTTCATTTGGTCTAAATTGTCTTACTCTATCTTTTATTAGCTTAGTAGCGTAACTTTGCGTCGTTCAAAAGGAAACGTAGTTGTATCGATACATGATTCTCAAAACTTATTTTATGCTCGCGATTATTTTCTGCTCAAATTCAACTTGAATTGCGACAAATTGTAGAACTTAGGTAACTGCGTTGTTTTTCCAAAAAATTTTCTTTTTTTTTTGAATTAGTAGCTTTCTTTTGTTCCTTTGTATGCCAGCCTAAAATGCTTCCTTTGGGTGGTATTGCAAGTAATCCAAAGCCACGCGTAAAGTTAGTCAAGAAATTTTAGCCGCTTTCTTACACCGGACCAAATTTGTTCAGCTAACATATTCAATCTTATATCTTGATTACTTTCAGAAGAAACCGCAAAAACGTTAAACAAAAATTCGTTTACCTGCTTTTTGAAATCAAAAAGTTACAACTTCTATGTTCTGTGATTTTAGAACCGTAATCTAATTTCCTGCAAAAGTTATGTGTTTTTTTGTTAAGTAATTGAATTGAAAAAGATTCGTAAGCTAGTAAAAAACTTTTTATTCCTTTGTACTCAAATGAACTTTTATTTCGAACATTTAAAAATGGGGAAAAACTTTGCATTCGGGTGTGTTTTAGTTTATTCTTTTCCACGCAAAATCAGGTAGCACAAATAATCATTGGACTGGATCGAGTGATATATCAAATTGAAGCCCTTTCAGTCGTGATTCGAACGACATTAACAAATTTTGAATTTTTTCGCAGTGTCGAGAAAAACTGGTTTGAAGTTTTTGGTTTTTGGTCTAATTTTGAGCTAATAAGGTGACCGTTTAAGCTTACAATAGCTTATTTAAGCTTAATTTCAGCCCTGAAAACTTATTTTTATTCTGGTGAAGGTAGTGTTTGGAGTTTTAAGCGCATTTTTGAGTACCAAAAACTTTAAAATTCAAAAACTTAAAAATTTTCCGTTTGACCTATTTTACTATGACTCTCAAATATGCCTAAATTCTATTTTTTCGTTCAGATTTTTTATCACAACATGCAGAAAAAAAACGACACCAAATTTGTAGAAAAAAAAGACACCTTCTTTTTGTATGGGATAATCATTTTTCTTAACAGTCTGCAAACACTTTTACATCAGGAACTGATTGAATGTTCTACTTAAGTCTGGAAGTTTTCGTGTTGGTAATTTCCTTCATACACTGAAAATTCAAATATAAAGAGGGGTTTTAATCCATTTAACTATTCATCAGTTATATTTAAGTAAGCTGTTGAGCTTTTGGAAGGGTTTTGTTGAAATCGAGGGTTGAAGGTTGTTTCAACATTTTTTACATGAACCGTAAATAGTTTTGCAAGAGTTTCATACTCATTTCAGACATGATGGCACTTTGTCACCAGCGGGAAGTTATCACAGGTGACGTTTTTTAGCACTTATTAGAAGGGATTGTTGGCACCATGCAACAATTTGTAGCAGTCGGCAACTATAGCGGTAACCCTTTTGATCACTTGAAAAAAATGACAGGATAGCTTAAGTACGAAAAAAAAATCAAAATTGAAAGAAAAGCCTTCAAGCTGCTTTAGAATGGTATTGTTGATACAATAAGGATTTCCTGGTTTTTTTAACAATCAGCATTGGTTTTTCTCGTAACTTGCCAATTCAGCGGCGCTTACTGCGGCACTAATTTGTGCGAAATTAGAAAGTCGGCAGCTAGTAGCAGTCGGCAACAATTTGTAGCAGTCGGCAACTAGTAGCGGTAACCCTTTTGATCAGTTCAAAAAATGACAGGATAATTTAAGTATGAAAAAAAAATCAAAATTGAATGAAAAGCCTTCAAGCTGCTTTAGAATGGTATTGTTGATACAATAAGGATTTCCAGGTTTTTATACCAATCTGGAATGGTTTTTCTCGTATTAAGTCACTTCAGTGGCGCTTACTGCGGGCGGCACTAATTTGGGCAAAATTATTGTACAAAAAGTTTTTTTTGAGGAACTACTGTATGAAATTATTTGTCTCCTTGGCCTAATTGTTTGTCTTCTGTCCCAATTTTGTTTTTATTTTGGAGTTTTTTACAGCGTTTTAATAGTTTTTTTATAGAGTTCTAATCTACTGAAATGCATTCCGATTCTATATGTACGCATACAAATAATTGGCGTGAATTCCGTATTCATTAGTTGATTTGTAATTAAATATTCAGTTTGAATAATGTTTTAACGATTTTACGTTGCTTACAAATTTTAAGGGTGTAAATTTTTATACTTTAAATTTTAATTTTTAAACTGATGATTTTATTGATTAAATAATTTTGTCAAATTTTATTCAAAAATATGAGTAATTAATCTGACTTCGTAACTAATTTTAATTTTATACTGTTGCTATACTAATGCAACGACTATTGTGTATAGTAGTAAAAGTGTTTCTTCTTCTTCTTCATTTGTCCAAGTATTCGAGTTTTATGAAAATTCGCTGAAATTTTCATTGATTTTAATGATAGGCGATATCCGTACATTTTTTTGCATTGTCATTAAATAATCTGAATTTCATGTGCATGCATTTTTAACGTGGATCCGACCATATTTTTGGTTCAGTTAATGTCAAAACAAAATTAATTTGGTCTCTTAATTTACTGCTTAAGTGAATAGAAAACTACATCAGTCTTAGGGATCGTTTATTTCTGCTTATTTGAACACATTAATTTGTTTTTGACCTTGCTCTTTCAAACAACTTTTGTAGCATGCAAACCTTGGCTCAGAGCAAATCAAAAGTCCATGTATTCATGTTTCTGTTGGGGGCTCGTTCCTTTTTAGACCAAGTAGGCGTATCTGGGCGGGTCTCCCTTGGTCCAGACCCAGTAGTGGTTGCGGAAGCAGTTCAACTCGAACAGCATTTCCTTCTCCTCTATGTTCTCCTGGTTGTAATACACACTCTTAAGGAATGGGTCAGTCGGCTCACAGTGGATTTCTAAAAAGATTAAGTTTGTTCAATATATATGCCTCACAGCGGCGGTTATGTGTTTTTTGGGGAGAACGAGGCGCGTAAGGGGGTTAGGGGTACTGCCAGCATTTTTCTCTGTCATGGGAATCTTACTTCATAGTACATTATCTTACTGCTACGTTTCATTGAAAAAAAAACAGCAATTTTTTTTCGTACTATTAAAAAACTCCCAACTCCCAAACTGACAACTTTTTCAAAATAAGCAGCTCATTGTATTGTCAAATTGTTTGCATGGATCAAAAATATAGTTGTCTTTGTATACAAAAAGCAGTTGCGTACCATTGAGTTGGTTCCTGGTTTGTTCCTGGTGCCACAATTCCAGCTGAATATCTTTCAGAGTCAAGCCCATCCTCTCAATTGGTAACATTTCCCACGCACCAGACATGAATCCTATACAAGACCACTCAGTACTATTAGGAGTTTGTTTGTCGCAACAATGGTTGATTTATCTTTATCTCAACAATGGGAAACATTTAATTTTTTTTAAAGGTTGACCAAACCGCAACTGATTTTACTTTATTTAAGGCTGTTATTAATCTCCCTCGAGGCAATTAATTAATTATTAAATTGAGGTTTCTGCAAATCGCAGAGGATCTATACAAGGCTATCAGGCCTGTCTAAGCATAGTCCGTATCGTTTTCCCGCACTTTCCAGGCTGAGGTATTTTGTTGAGTGCTTTTGTGGATTCGTTGGTAACTATATTTCTTTCTCCTAAGCAAATGAAATATAACCAAAAGGATTGATTTTTCGTTTAGTAATAAATACTCATCGTGTGCATACGTTTCTCTTGCAGATCATTTCTATCAGGTATGGTTAGAATCCAACACATTTGTTTTTTTGACAATTTTTTTTTCAAAAAAAGCAACCTATAATGAAATTTTCTGGAGCTCTGAAATGATATTATTGTCAAATTTCAAAGTAAATGCTTTTTAAGGTTTAATACGGAATCTTTCGGACAAGCATCATTATTGTTCCGACTTTCGAAGAAAACGGAATATTTATGCTTGTTGTGATTTTTTTGTTCAGTCAAATTTCGGCGATCGAACTTACAGTTTCAACCAAAAAAGTTTTATACTCCATTGAAGATATCGAATCTCTTAAGCAAACGTTAAACGACATTTTACTTCCGATCGTTTTTGCAAAATTCTGGAAGTTTAAAAACTCACAATTTGACCATGCTCTGGACTAATTTATTTTCGCTTTGAAGATTTAGAGGGATCATAAACTTATACCAAAGGGGGGACCTTTTGGGAAAACTTGGCGCCCAGAATTGAAGGGGGTGGCGGTCAAATGAATGTTGATTTCGTTTCAGAAATGTTCGTCAAACTCAATCGAAACCAGATTTACCATCACCAATAATCTTGATTGCAACCTGCATTGACAAAAATGGATTAGGATAAGTTTTAGTATGGAAAAAGTATGTAGGTTTAATTGAGATTGATTTTAGTCTGAAAAAAAGTACAAAGATTAAATAGAAAAGGTTAAGGTTGAATTTGATCAAACTTGAACTGATTTTAAATCGATCTAAATCCATGTTAATAGTCTTAACTTGTTTTTATTTTTAGGGGGATTAAAACGGATTGAAATAGATTTCATTCGAATTCAATCAGTTTCGAGTTTGTTGAATTTATCCATTGCCCACAGTTTTTCATATGCTACCTTACGCCACTGCCATAGCGTAATGGAACCTGATCTAAACTACATTTTATGATTGGATAAATTAGATATTTTACCACTGTAAAGTATTTAATATTAACCAATCATGATCCATCTAACTAACAACCCACTTATTTGTAAGTGCTGAAATTACTTGTAATTTGAGCACCAGAGAGATTTGAATTTAACTTAGAAATTAGTTGCCTCTCCAAGAGAACTTCAGCAGCCGCAATAAACCAGTATACCCTAGATCTATTGAGCCTAGCAGAGACTAGTTAAACAACCTGAGACTAGAATAGTATAAGAGTAAGATTAGGATCGGTATTAGACTAAGAAGTTGCACGAATCTATCCGGCCGAAAATAAGATAGCGTGACGAGCAGACAGTGTACCCTATCCGAAATTACTCTATGAGTTAACCACATCGGTCCTAACTCATCTGGTGCGACCATAAGTCTCGAACAAGACCTTAATAGCTTAGAATTAACCAAAAATAGATTAGAATTTAGACAAAACATTTTTAAAATGTTATACGACGATAATTTAATCGAAATGTCTCTACGACTCAATAGATCAGAGCCAATATTCCGAACGATAACAGAACTACCCGGAATTGCAAGAAGACCTCGAACCAGAGACGACATACGACAAAGTAGAAACTTACCAAATAGTTATATGATAGTACGGCAAAAGCCAACACAGACTTTTATATTTAGAATTTTATTAGCAATGAATTTAGATTTTCATTTGCGAACATAAAATCTTGAAGTCAATCTTCATAATCATTTCAGGCGCTAAACAAAACTATTAATATACAATAACGATTGATAAAAAGATCTCAGATCGTTTTCCTAAAATTCTGCAGTATTATATAAAACATGTTTGGAAAATATTTGTTGAAAATCAAAACAAAAATTAGTAGCATGACAATAAACTGTTAGTAATCATAAAATCATCAGTTGTCCCAGCTTCATCACCTAAACATAACAGCATTCATAAGCTCACTAATATCATTAAAAAACTAAATCTTTTTCTTAAACAAATTTAAACCATTTTAAACTTAAATTCACTTAATTTTAAAATCAGATCATCAAGGCTTATCCTTGGATCTTAATTCATTTTCTATTTAATTAAATTTAAAACTTGATCATCAAGGCCTATCCTTGGATCAAAAAGAACAATTTTGTTCTTCCCCACCCACTTAGCTAGTGTCTAACGACCTCAAACGTCGATTCACTATCCAACCCTTCCAAAAAACCCAAGACTAATAGAAATTTTGAACAAAACTAACCATTCAAATTAGGATAAACAGTGAAGAACTTCGGTTATTCATCCTTCACTTGAACCCTCCTCTTATCAAGACCCAGGATAAATCTTAGACTTAGTAAGTTTAAAATAGTATCTAACGAACCACTCGCGTTCTAATTATACCTGAAACTTGTGGATCGATTTACTATTCTCCAACCCTTGAACACAATCACTACCCCTAAGTAAGATTAAGTAAGTTAACACCTTAGCTTATACTAGCCACGAGAAAGTAAAAAATCATTCTTCGGAATCGATATACTTTTCTCTCCAACCCTGAACAAATAGACCCAGGTTAAGCTAACCAAAAAATCGTAAGGACTAACAATTTAAGAAAATAGAAATCATCTAACAACTTTTTGCATCCGTCATCCTAAACCTTATGTCATTTAAAAATCTAGGAAACAAACAAACAATCGTTTTACACAACTGTGAAATAGATAACAAAAAATACGACCTTGTAATCACACCTCATACACAAACAGTTGGATATATTAGAACAAAACGACAAACACTATAAAGGAAAATAATAAACAAACAAAGACAAATAACACGAAAAAGATTTTCCAAAAATAGAAACGCATTTTCAGAATCAGAAGCCAGCAATTTAGACGAACTTTATAAATTAAAAGAATCTATAGATAAAAATTGCCCCATTCACGATCAATTATATTTTTCCGACTCAGAAACAACTTCAAATTCATCAAAAAGAGGAAAAAGAAGAATAAAAAAGCAATATAAACACAAACCAGTACATTTATATAATTGGAATCAACCAATTAGACATATCGATAATTACCTATTAACAGTCATTAAACGAAAAAATGAGCCAGACACACACTCCAAGTGAAGATAGTCCAGATGATGACGATATCTACCCCTTCCTCGTAGATGCACCCAATGATAGAGGGCAGCATATATTTTGCAAGAATTTACTCCTAAATTTATTTGAACCCGGAATCAGCCCATGTAAAGCAGAGTTCCGAGATGTAAAGATCAAAAGACAAATTATTGATCACTATCTGAAAGATATATGTAATTTGACACAACAATACGGAATCTACACCATAGAATTTAGCTCACCAAACCCGAATCACCGCAAATATGTAATTCAAACAGACGACCTTGATTTAGAATTTTCAAAAGTATTCTCAGAATATATAAAAGCATACAATATCATAACTCACAAAGAGCAAACTCCATATTTACTAATGAAGTTTTTGCCATAATATATAGTTATATCTCAATATTAGAAAACGAAATCCCAATCCCAAATGTCTCACCGACAGAGACATCTAAACATATAAGGGTACGACATGAAATCACACTATTTTCAACTTTCCTACATATAATTAAAGAAAATTTCACTAAAGATGAAGTTTCACAACATACAAAACATGACTTACAAAAAATTTTGGCATGGTTTATAATAGATTATTTCACACATAATATAGATTTAATTTCACAAGCAAGAAAAAATTTCAGACCTCAAAATTCAAACGATGATACCGCCATCACAGAACAGTCAGACTACGTTTGGGACCCCGAGTGGTCTCATTATGCATTTATAAATATCCCACAATCAATTGCAAGTCAAGCAATAAGTACAATATCTTATACAAGAGATTATGTAAGAGTAGTACCATTAACCATTGATGCAACACCATTAAACTACAATACATTTCTACCTGATACGCGAATTAACAGCTTAAACTCGACCGTCATACACAATGACAACCTTAATGGAACTAGGAATCTCACTCAACAAGATATTCAGACACCATCACACTTCATAAATGAAGAAATTGTCCAAACAACAACAACTACACAACAAAGTATTTCACCGATACGTCCAAATTTAACAACACCAAGAAATACAAACACTTCACTAGCACAGGTAACCTTACAATCAACCGTTAAACCTTCGGTTGCTCCAAAATATTCACAAATGGATTATCAAACATATAGACCCATGACAATACCGTCAAAAACACGCAGAACGTTCACAAGAAACAATTTTGCGGAACACAATTATAATTACACACATTCATCAAAAACAAACTATCCCCCCGAAAAAATAATAATAATCAGATAAGATCTCGATATTGGGATAATCCAATGGCAACAACCAACTCAGTAAACTTTCAAACTAATTCACATCCTCCACAGGATCGTAGTGAAAACTACCCATTCTTTCAACAGAATAAAAATAAAAAACAAGCACCTCATCAAACGGATTACCTATCCTCTGATGATGATTATTTACAACCAGATATATTTGCACCATATACATATCATAGAATTTTTTCTCCACATCAAATAGATACACAAAATCAACAACCAATACAAATGCAAAACCCAAATAATACACAATCTTTTCAACCAATTCAGCCACAAAACCCAATGATTACACACTCGTATCAACCAACA